TATATATATATATATATATATATATATGTGTGTGTGTATTGCTAGCGAATATGCATTGCAATAAAGAAGTATTTGTTGGTTAACAGCCTATTGTTTTATCTTTTTCTTTGTGCTGAACATTAAGATTAAAGAATCTATAAATAGTAGTTTAATTTTATTTTTAATGTCTTGCCTTTTACATAAACTTCTGTAGAAAATAGCGATGAATCATCAAGAGTATTATTAAGCTTCAATGTGACAGAATTCAATGAACCTTTATCGTTATGCAAGCATAATTGCATATTGTCAATTATAAATAGATCCATTTCCCGCCAATCTTTGAAAATCTGAAGAAAAAAATGCTTTAACATGACACTAAATATATATGAAAATACTAAAAATTCAGAGAAAAGCACGTATTAGAAATAAATAAAAACTAATTCATATGTTACTTTTAAAAACAATACTATTTTATATTTCATAATACTTAGATTGATATTAATTCTTTCGCTTAGAAGAAGAAGAGTTTAGAAGAAGAGAGAGCAGTGTCTGATTTAATTATTTTTAAAAACATTGAAGATTAGTTAATATGAAAATGATATTATTCAATATAAAAATAAAATCGAGATATATAAATACAAAATATTGAATTTTATTATTTATTTTATTAAATACTGAATATCCAGAGAATAAAGTATTTATGAATTTCGATTAACTTCTTTATGATTTTGAATTCAAAAATCTTTGCCATTCTCTCTCACTTATTCACACACACGCGTGCGCGCGCTCGCGCGCGCACACACATTCTCTCTCTGTCTCTCTCTCTCTCTCTCTCTCTCTCTCTCTCTCTCTCTCTCTTTCTCTTATTCAGATGTATATAGATACATTATATGAAAATATAATATTTAATTATATTTTTTAATTGATACTATTTTTATCTTAAATTAAAATGTATTTTAAAATGATTTTTTGTTTCAATAAGCAATCTTACATTATGTGTGTGTGCGCGCGCGCGTGTGTGTATGTATGAGAGAGAGAGAGAGAGAGAGAGAGAGAGAGAGAGAGAGAGAGAGAAAGAGTAATATTTAATAACCTCGTTGATTATATACGTTTCGAAGAATGCAGCAAGTCCCTCGCTTAACCATAAGTAGTTCCACCAAACTGGAGTGACCAAATTGCCAAACCATTGATGTGTAAGTTCATGTGATATCAATGATGCTTGTTCATTTTTATTAATTACAGAACTTTTGTTCTCATCGTAGAGAAGATTTGATTCACTAAAAAATAAAACATAACATAATTATATAAAATATTCTTAAATGTGCAGTCTAATCTGTGTGTGTGTGTATATATTTTATATATAAATACACACACACACACACACACACACACACACACACATACACACATATATGCATATACCTCTGAATTCTGTCAGTGTTTCCTTTAAATAATTATATTGTTCATAATTGTCTTACACGAATAACTCACAAGAGAACACAATCGTCACAACTAATTATTCCCCTCAAATTTTAATAAGCTTTGAATATACAATATTAAAATATAAAGCAAAAGAAGAAAGATTATTCTTTCATAAATAACTTAAGGGGACAAAATCCTCCCTTAAATAAGTTTATTTTTTTTTTTTTAATGAAGATATCTGGTAAATATTGAAAATAACGGACCTATCTCCAATGACCTTGATCTTGACACATATTGTCAAAGTCATGGCCTTGAGTGATCTTCGTAATGTTTTAGCCCACGCTCGTTATTCGTTCAAAAGCTATTTACAAATTAAATTGACAATATAAATATGTATTTATAACTGTATATTTTAACATAAACTATAGAAATCAAAGCCTTAAACGATCTAACTGAATCTTAAATGCTTGTTTGAAAATGTGTAATATAGATTAAATACGTTAATAATTATGTAAGACAATAATTTTCATTTAAATATAAAAATATATATTTTTTTGATATAATTTTCTGTAAGAATGTTTATATTTTAAATTATTAAATCTCGAAATTGCTAAATGTAGTATTAGCTAGATTTAATAACTTAACAAATTTCTTTAATTATGTATATTACCGGTAAATGATAAGTCCCCAATTTTCCATGCCGTAAGGTATAAAAGATGGTATCAAGACATGATCCATTTTGGGTACCTTCTGGGAACTATTGGTATATTGAATCAAGAACTCCACGACCTTTTCAGCAATACTGTGTGCGAATTTTACTTTCGATGTTAAAGACGATCTGCACCACATATTAATCGTCTCGTTCGCATTGGGAACGCGGACAAAGTCGAACATTACAATCGCTACGATATAAGTAGACATTATAGGAGTGATGTCAAAGTGTGTCTGCATCATGCCATCTTGGTCTAAAAATTGCTCTCGTATTGGCATATTCGATAATACATCATACTTCTGATAATGTTTTACAGAAATGTTGAAGGTGGCTTTTAACGCTGGCTCGTCCCAACATGGAAACATTCTTCTGGCGCCATTCGGCTCGAAATGCGTTGCAGCCAACCACTTACTATTTAATAAAATGTCTTAAATGATGATAAATTTTTACTACTTATATTAAGTAACATAAAAATTCAAAGGACTTATTGTTAATTATTGTTTATTATATGTATACTATCTTTAATAAAAATTTTGCTAAAAATAAAAATCAAATGCTGTATAGCCATGCTATTTTATTTGAAATTGAAACTGTATTCTTTCAAGTATTATATTATGCATTATGTATATTTTAAATATACATTACATTTAATGAAAACCGTTTTATGTATGGTAATAAGATAAAAGCAAAAGAAGATAGTAGTAAAAAACATTTACATCACAAATATATTTTTTATATTTTAATATTTACTTACGTATCGTTTCCTTTATCAATTGTGTATGGAAATTTCATAAAACCTATTTTCGTAGTTGTAGGTAATAAATTACCAGAAAATTTCATGTTCAAGGTGTAAAGACCAGGTGATAATACATTATTGAAATTCATTGTCAAAATGTTCGTTACATTATTATGAATATGTTCTATTGGTTTATAAACTGTATCTTTGTCATTAATTAATGTTGTGGCTGTTTCATTTATTTTTAAATCTCTCGAATGTAAGCTTATTTTTGACGATTCATAACGAATCTTGATATTGATATTGGATTCACCGTGAAAAGTAAAGTTGTTTTCTTCGAAATATAGTGCCAGTTTGATGTTATAGTGTACTGGTATCATGTTGTTCGGTAAACGATCAATAATTTCTAAACTTTCACCGATGCAGAAAACTTTTTTTATGGTCAGTATTAGGCCAATGTTTAATAACAACTTTAAGAATATCATATCGAATTCCTGTTTATATTACCTGCGATTTTTGTTAAAAAAAGAACAAATATTACATTATACAATGATGTCTGAAGTTACATTTGAAGTCTAAATTTGTAAAGTCTAAAGTAATTTAATATTAATTTTTAAATAAAAAGAGAATAAATGGGAAAAATATAATTTTTCAGTTTTTTTATTAAAAGAATTATATATAAGATTTACTTTGGAAAAATTATGAATATCATTTTATATTTTATATTGAGTATACTTTAATGTACTCATAATTATAATTTATTTTGTTATTCTTATTTTCATGAAATTCTTTCTTAAAAGAATCATAATAAAGAATTAATTTATTCAATTTGAAAAATAATTTTAGACACCGAAGAAGCGTGTTACAATTGCTGCATAGTATATAATATATAACATACAATATATTTACCGTAAGAAAACATATTATTTACCGTAAATGAATATATAATGTTAATATAGGAAAAAAGATTACAATGTTTTTTACAACCATTCGGAGATAGTTTTATTGCTTTATTTTCTCATGTATTTTATTGTTTTATGAAAACCGAAAATTATTATAATAATAATGTTCACTAGAAAAAATTGGTACATTAAAATAACGAATCGTTATTTAAATTGTTACGAAATCATTGTCATTAGTTACGCTTTTTTTTTCGGCAGCCGAAACTTGTAATGTTATTCTTCCTCTGTTTATTATATTTTATTATACGTCTTTTCTTCATTTTTCACTTTTTTGTATCTCTGATTTATGTCTTTGATTATATGTTTTCTAATGAATGCGCTAACTCTTATTTCGCCTTTCATTTGTTTTGATTTAGTTATGCTTTAATCATTTAAAAAGTAATTCAGAATTGAACCAACAACTCTGAATTTGTTTTTAAATAACTGATAGCAATTTCGTAACAATTTAATGTAAATAAGAATTTTATTTTAATATACCAATTTTTCCTTGAATGTATTGCGTCATTATTATGATAATTTTTGATTATTGTGTAAAAAAGATACATAAGAAATTTTAGAAATGTGTGAGATAATCCTCGAACAGTCGCCAAAATAGTTTTTAAACCGTCTTTTATTCATGCGTTATCTTTTGAAATATTTGTATTACGTTTCATATATTTTTTTATGTAATAAGGAGAATAAATCTTTTGAATTACTATCACTTTTAACGACTTACTTTATAAATTACCTGTTTGCAGATTAAAATAAAGTTGAGAGAGATTCGTAATTGTCTATAGCTAATTACAGTTAATTAATTTATGATTTTAATATCAAAGTTATATCAGCATAATTGCGTTGTCATCTTGCCGTCTCGAAAGATTCTCGAATACTGACTACAATATCAATATCTGTGATGTTATTACATGTTATCTAAATATGCTGTAAGGTCTTATAAAAAAACGTCCTATACTTATAGAATCCTTGAGTTATAAACAATGAATTGAAAATAAGAATCTTTTTGTAGAGAAACTAAATAATTATAATAAATATTTATTAAACATTAAAGGCAATGTGATTAGATTATTCATTCTACAGTTTGTTTTAAGTAGATGTTATTTTAACATAAATTTAATATGCACAATATTACACAATATATAGTACATTTATATAAAAAGTAACAATTTGTAAAAGTTTGTGATAAATGTCTTAACATAAATGCGCATTTTTTTGCGATATTTTTTATATTGGGATAATCGATTTAAGTCATTAAAACAATTTGATAGAAATGTGTTTAATAATGAACATGTATGATTATACAGATTTTGTTTTTCTCATAATTAAGGTATCCTTTATCTGAAAAATAAATAGCGGATTCAAAATGTATATATAAAAATCGTCACATTATAAGTAATTATATAAATATAAAAATAATTTTAACTATAATTATAATAAATAAATGACATACACAAAAAAACAAATTTAATGAAGTTATAAGTACATAAAATCTGTGAACACAAACTTATCTTATTAAATTGGTCTTTATTAATATAAATATTGGAAATAATATTTTTCAACATTGTAATCGTCATGAGGGATATACAAAAATAAAATAAAATATTCATGTTTGATACCATTATTTATCAAAAACGATATATCAACAAAACGTCTTTATTTGTGTTTAATTCTTTCGAGATTTTATAACATATAATTATAAGCTCTTTCATATGATTATTCTTATTTATATGATTAATGATATTCGATTAAAAAAATAAAGTGAAAAAGATAATGATTTTTTAATCGCAATGCTAAATATTGTGTGATGCTATAATATTCAAATATTTGATGATAATATCACAATCTTTAGAGCAAACCAAAAAGGTTTTTGTGACGTATTTACATACCTATATAAATTCATCACATTCTTTTATATATGATATAATGGTATTCTATATAGTATAATTGATATTAAACTAGATAAATAAGTATGTCTATTTTTGTCATCGAGAAATTCAGATAAAAATAAAAAATTAAAAGTTTGAATGATTACAGTACTAAGATAACATACAGTAAAAATTATTAAAAGTATTAAGTTTCATGCTTTGTTTCTCGAGATATCTTTCTTCTTTCTTTTTTCCATTTCTATAACTTTAATACTCTCTTTTTATATATCTGGCTATCTACTTGTGTATCTATTTATGTTTTCTCTATTATATATATTATATTATACATATTTGTGCAATATGTACATGTGTATATCTTGATAACTAAATTTCTCTCCAAATTACACCTAATGCAAATCACTGTTCAAGGAATTATTTTTGCGAATAAATACATTTTTTTTCTGTAAAATTAATTTGTTTAAAATAGATAAAAATATACAAAGCATGAGACAAAGAAATATAAGTTATGAACAATATGAGATATTGGAATTCACAGAAATAATAACTTCTATTTAAATAAAGCCTTTTATTACAGTCAGCATTTTATTACAAAATGACATCATTATTTCATATCTTCTATTCTAAATAATCCAAATCAACATCTATAATAGTAATTATAATAATAAAGCTATAAAAAGTTTAAGTATTTGGTATAGACAGCAACTAGTATATATATCATCTAGAAAATAATATAATAAATTTATCATTTGAGACAATTCATTTACAAGTGCTTCGAACTGAATGTAATAAATCAGAGTTATACAGTTTATAAAAATATCTTACAAATGACATCAAAGAATCTAATATGTTATATAACATAAATTGTCATTAAAAGAAAATTATTGTGTTAAAATTTTATTAATAGCTTTCCCAAACTACTGATAAAATATTAAATATTATAAAATTGAGCAATAAAAAATATTTAAAAATAAATTATTTACAATTTGATATAATAAATAAATATATGATAAATAAATATAATCTTATTATTAGAAAGCTAATATAGACAAATGTAAGTTTTGCTTATATTAACTTTAAGATTGTCTTTTCATTATACGTATGACTTCTCTCTAGGTAATAATCTTAAAAATAACTTGTCGACAAAGTCAAATTTATCGAAGTCAAATTTCCTTTTAACATCGATTATGGTTTTCCAAAGATATTCTTTACTATCGTTTATCAGTTTTTTAATTTTAGACAAAATTTTTGGATGTTGTTTGAAATTAGTTTGTGAGAATGTTTCCACCTAAAACAGATTAGTTCGAGATACTGAATAAACAGTAATTTATTTTTATGCAGCAATTTGATGCATTATAAGTTTTAATTTAATATAATAAGATAAGTACATAAATATTAAGATATATAACATGTGTAAAAAATATCAAACTCCTTAACTGCGAAATGCGTTATAAA